GGCAGCAGCAGCAAAACTAGTATTTTCATTGTCAGTGGTAACATCCTTCCTGTAACTGGAAGTAGGAACAGAGTTAGGGGGTCAGAGGGAAGGGGTGTCTGCCACAGAGGCAGGGATCGGTGGGTTGGGCCTCTCTCCCTGCCTCCACCTGCAGCCCAGGTGACAGGACCCCTGCTCAGGGAGGAGTCAGACACAGGCATCAGTAACCACCCCCTCCATGGAACTTTACTCAAAATAAATCTTATTCCCTCTCCAGCTTGTAAAGTGCATAAAGCAGATCTGCTCTGGGAGAAGCCACACTGTGGGCAGGAGCCCCTCCACACACCCCACTCCCCTTGCCTTGCCAGCCCCCCAGGTGCTCAGAGAAGTGCAGTTTAAGTATATCTGATCTAGTTTAGTCCACTCATTTTACAGATGGAAACTAGCTCAGAGAGGTTAAGAAAAAGGCCAAATTAGAAATGCAGAGAGTTACAAGAAGACCAAGCCTTAAACAGAGAGGGAAACAGATTGTTGGTTTGTATTTATGAAAAACTCACTGAAGAACAAATCAAAAGGGGCTCAGATTGCTTGAAACAGGTCTACACTCAGGTAGGGATCAAGGTTGATCAAAGATCAGCAAATCAAGGTCAATCCAACAGTGGTCCCAGGAATTGCTATTTACTAAAGGCAGTTAGGAAAACCAGATCCCAGTATGAAGAAAAAAACAGTCAATTTCCTTTAGATCTACATTGTGTAGGCCCATTGGCAGCACAATCACTTGATTATAAGAAAGCAGTCAAGCAGAGGATCCATCAAAAGCACCGAGCATGAAGCGTTCTGATTAGTCCTGAGAGTGTACGTATCATGTGAGTTTCTGAGGAAGAAGAAGCCCTCTAAAGCCGAGGCCTGAGACCTCAAACTCATCTCAAGAAAGACAAATCATCAGGTGCAGAGGATCAGGAACCCTCTGAAATGTGCACTCTGGCTGGCATTGAATTTTCCTGGCGAAAGATCCATAGCTTTCAGCAGATTCTCAAAGAGTTCCATGACCCCTGACAGGGTTCAGAACCACTGCAAGGGGGGATGTCAGCTTCCTAAGAGATGTGGGGTAGAGCAGGTGAGCATCTGGCCAACTGGCAGGTACATGTGGGGACCCAGCTGTAGCTGTGCAAATAGAGCTGTTTTGAGGAAGAAGCAGCAAAACATGGAAGTCCACGAGAAAATGAGGCTACTGAGAGTCATAGAAACTGTCTCCACTTTTCTACACATACATTGGCCCCAACAGATACATAGTTTGTTGGTGTCCATAATCCCCTGTGGCCAAATATGTGCAGAAGCCACAGCTGCCTTAAAGGTGTTTGTGAACTTCCACTGGCAACATAGATCCTTGGACTTCAGTTGTTGTAGCCAAGAGAGAAGACAGGTCTTAGACCTGTCCAAGGGAGCAGATAGAACTGAGGTCTCCATACTCCTGGGGACTCTTAGAGGTCCCACCACAGTGGACACACCTCAGTGAAAGGATGGACCAGAACAATATCCAGACTTCCACATCTGGGAGTATGAGAGTAAATGTCCCAAAGAAAGTAACTACAAAGCCGGATAAAAACAGAAAGTATCTTTTTTAATGCATTGAGTTGGCAAGAAAGTGAGAAATACCCAGGGTACAAAAGCACAGTGAAAACAGTCATTCCTGGTGAAAAACTGTGCTTGAAATCAGCTTTTGCCTGAAAAGTATCTGCCAAACCAAACCAGCTTAACTTCAACTACCAGTTGAGTACTTTGTACAATAGAGGAAACCAGAGATAAAGCCTTTACATTGGGGCCCTCCCAATGTAGAGAGACTAATAGGATATTACCCACACAAATTTTGGATTCAAACAGCTTTTCTCTCAAAATACAATTTATACAAAGTTTTTAAAAACATAGATTTTTTAAAAAAAAATGCAATGAGTGAGTTAAATAGATTAGACACAGATGGTATGAGAATTAATGAACTGGGAAATAAATCTGAATAAATTATCCAGAATGCAGTTCATTGGGTCAAAGACATAGAAAATATAAAACAAAGGTTAAGCAGCATGGAGGATGGAGGCAATAATAGAGAAAATTAGACAGAAGCGGTATTTGAAGAAATAATATCAGAGATTTTTCCACTATGTTGCAAAACACTAATATTCCCATCCAGGAAGCCCAACAATCCCAGGCAGATTAAATAATCAGAAACACACGTCTAGAGCTATTATTCTAAAACAACAGAACACTGAGAAAAAGAAAAGATGTTAAGAGCAGTCAGAAAGAAAAAACACCCACAGACCTACAATCAATTAGTATTCGACAAAGGAGGCAAGAATATACAATGGAAAAATGACAGTCTCTTCAGCAAGTGGTGTTGGGGAACTGGACAGTCGCATGTAAATCAGTGAAGTTAGAACACACCCTCACACCATACACACAAATAAACTCAAAATGGCTTAAAGACATAAACATAAGACGAGACACTACAAACCTCCTAGAAGAAAACATAGGCAAAACATTTTCTGAATAAATCTTAGCAATGTTCTCCTAGGGTAGTCTCCCAAGGCAATGAAAATAAAAGCAAAAACAAACAAATGGGACCTAGTTAAATTTCCAAGATTTTGCACAGCAAAGGAAACCATAAGCAAAACAAAACGACAACCTACAGAATGGGAGAAAATATTTGCAAATGATGTGACTGACAAAGGTTTAATTTCCAGAATATACAAACAGCTCATACAACTTAATAACAAAACAACAAACAACCCAATCTAAAAATGGGCAGAAGACCTAAACAAGCAATTCTCCAATGAAGACACAGAAATGGCCCATAGGCACATGAAAAAATGCTCAATATTGCTAATTATCAGAGAAATGCAAATCTAAACTACAATGAGGTATCACCTCACACCAGTCAGAATGCCATCATTAAAAAGTCCACAAGCGATAAATGCTGGAGAGGGTGTGGAGAAAAGAGAACCCTCCTACACTTTGGTCATAATGTAGTTTGGTCCAGACATTATGGAAAATAGTATGGAAATGCCTCAAAAAACTAAAAATAGACTTACCATATGATCCAGCAATCCCACTCCTGGCCATATATCCAGGGGGAACTCTAATTAGAAAAGATACGTGCACCTCAATGTTCATAACAGCACTATACAATATACAATAGCCAAGACATGGAAGCAACCTAAATGTCCACTGACAGATGACTGGATAAAGAAGATGTGGTATATTTACACAATGGAATACCACTCAGCCATAAAAAAGAATAAAATAATGCCATTTGCAGCAACATGAATGGACCTGGAGATCGTCATTCTAAGTGAATTAAGTCAGAAAGAGAAAGAAAAATACCATAGGATACCACTCATATATGGAATCTAAAAAAAGAAAAAAGGAGAGATTGAATCAAGATGGTGGAGTAGTAGGGCCATGAACTCGCCTCTCCTTGCAGCTACAACAAAACCACAACTGACTTCTTGACAGCCATTGAGAAAAAAGACTGGAGTCTAACAAAAAGGATCTGCTTCAAGTGGAAACATTGAGACAGAACCACAACAGGAAGGTAGGAGGGGTGCACTCACAATATAGTTGGGTCCCATACCCTCTGGGTGGGCAATCCACAAACTGAAGAACAATTAAGTCACAGAGGCACTTTCACAGGAGCGAGAGTTCTGACTCCCACATCAGTCTCTCCAGACCAGGGTTCCAGCAGTGGGAGGAGGAGACCCCAGGGCATCTGGTTTTGAAGGCCAGTGAGGCTTAACTTCAGGAGCCCCACAGGACTGGGAGAGACAGATTTAACTCTCTTGGGAGGCGCACACAGGATCTTGAGTGCACCAGGTCCAGGGGCAGAGATGGTGATTGCATAGGAACCTGGGCCAGACCAGCCTCCTAGTTTTGGAAGTTCTCCTGGGGAGTTAGGGGACTGCTGCAGCTCACACAGGGGACATAGAAGCTGGTGGTGGACACTCTGGGAGTGTTCATCTTCATGAGCTTCCCTGGAGGCTGACATCTTGATTGGATTAATAACACCAAGACCCAGCCCCACCCAACAGCCAGTAGGCTTAAGGGCTAGGAACCCTCAGG